GGACTGCCGATGGTTTGTAGTTTTGCTTTTGGCTTTCCATACATTTTTCTGTTAGTTTAGTTCTGATAAAAACCCGACATTTAAAGGGTAATTTAATTTTACATCTGACCGATTTTTTAAACAATAAAGCCTAATCCAGATAACCGGACTAATTACGGCTATTCTTGTTCGATGAATAGCGATACGTTTCAGTTGTCTGAGTAAGAAACAATACTTGTGAACACGGCGTAAACAGGGGATTATATGATTGACAGTGGAGTTGACAGGCCTGTGTGAAGTTACGCATGTTCTCTTTCTCTTTTCTAGCTTATTTGCATTTTCCCGTGCGACGTTTTTCAATGGGCACAATTCTGTAATGTTCTGCAGCTCAGAATGTGTCCATTTTAGATCTGTTTGAAACTCCTTTTTTAGAACTTTAATCACGGGCAAAGATCGCTCCAACAGTTTTATTTACACTGTATGTGGTCCTGACCTTTCTGGGTATGATACAGTAGTAAGTAGCTGACTACATTCTATGTTTATTTCGCCATTTACAACCCTTCAAGCACAGTCCCACTACTGTTGTAAAGACGTATTAACAGTTATCCTGCTTAGATGAAAAATTGTAAACTACTGCCATAATGGCTCGTGTTTTAACTCCTGGCTGGGATGAGTAGTAGAAATTCAAGCTGTGGGTGCCATTTATGGTCCCCTCAGCTCTCCCACCATCTCATTTTGCCATAACTGAACCTCAGCACTTTGTTGTACCGTGTGTATTTTTACTTATAGCCCTTAATAGTTTATTCTGTTTCCTCTGCCTTCATTGTGATATCAGTTGCCAGCTTTGCCAACTACGTGCCTGTTTTATGAGATATTTTTTGTATCAAATGTGCATGTTAACCTTTTTTAATTACATCTCCTTCAAAAGCTTTTAGTAGCTTCTCTGTCACTGCGAAAACCTCCACCAGTATTACAGCATCCTGGCAGTTACCACCAGAATAATGTTGTAATGTTGTTCAATTACAGCTCCTTCAGCTGCCCCAAGTGGCTTCTCTGTCACTGTAAAATCCTCCACCAGTATTACAGCATCCTGGCAGTTACCACCAGCAAACACCTGGAATGGAATTATCAAAGGGTTTAAACTGTTCTACAAAAAGAAAGGTTCTTCAGGGTCGCAAAACTTGGTAGCTGTTAACAGCGGATCAACTCTGACAAAAGTTTTCACTGGGCTTGATGAGTACACAGAATACGAATTTCAGGTGTTAGCCTACACTTCCAAAGGTGATGGACCAAAGAGTAATCCAGAATCTGCAACAACAAAAGAAGCTGGTGAGAAATCAGAAATAACGATACCTTATACTTCTGTTTATTGTTATGCAAGGCTTCAATTGCCAGCTAAGTAAAATTAATAAAGCCTAAAAACTTGTAAATATGTCAACATTATAGACCTGGTCTGGGTTGTTCGAAAACTTAGTTAATGCTAACCCAGGATTAAGAGTTAACCAATTGAGTATTAATTTTTCTAGTATAAAAAATGTTTTTCAC